ATAAAGACGACATGAGTTTACAGCCTTCCCGTTTAACTGTAAAGTCATCCGAAAATCCCGAAAAAGCAGAAAACCAGAAAAAGGCGGACCAAAAAGCAGAGCTGAACTCCCCTGGTTATACTTTGAACGATAAATAAATCAACAAATAAATAATTAAGTGTTGAATATGCGTCTATATATTTGCTCCTCCCTGGCTCATATGAATCAAACGACTACTGTTTTCAGCGAGACAACAAACAGTTCCTCCTCCTAGGCATAGCTTAAATTTTCCTAGGTGAGTTTCTTTTTTAAAGCAATTCTGTTGTTCTTCTCTGCAGCAGGTTTCTTCATCTGGGGTTCTTGCGTTTTCCTTTCTTAGACTGTGAGTACAGGGAAGGCGTTGATTTATGATTGGGAAATTTTGTTCCTTGTCTTGAATTAGAAAAAAATGATTTCATTTCACTTGAATTTCTTTTGAATTTAACTACTAATACATTTCCTGGGTAATTATTTCTTAGCTCACCAGGGGATCTTACTGTTTTATTTACCTTTGGCTTTTAGTATGCATGTGCTTTGATGGCGTACTCGCTGGAGGATTCTGAGCTGCATGGGGTTTGATTGGGAGCAGTGGACTTTTCTTCCAGTGATTTGTGGCAGCCCTGGTCTCATCCAATTATGAGGTCAGCTCTTGAGGTTTGTATTACTTGCTTCAGATGTGATATGTGGGGTGATTTGTTCTTGACTTCATTTCTTCATGATGATTATTATACATAGGAAAGGATTGAACTTTGCTTGTGCCTTCAGGGTTAGTGGAGGATCACGGAGTTTCTCTAGCTAAAGTTTGTTTCTTTCCTAGCAAAATTGAGTTGTTTGTTTGTAGCCGTGGAGATTTTGGATAATTTTGATGGTGAGAGTCCAGGGCTTGGGAAACTGGATGGGGTAAGATATTAGGTGGTGAAGGGTTGATTCAAGTGGATTCCTATTGTAGAGTTCTAGCATTTTCTGTTTTGGTCGGAGTTGCTTCTGGTCATATTGTGGAAAATGGATTGCCCCTTTTCATCCAAAGAAAAGGGGTTTGCTTATTGGGGTTCTCCTAGAGCACAGATGGAAGGTCTGGCACAGTATGACGGTGCCACGAGAAATTTGAGTTCTGAAGATCCCTTCAACATCTCAGAGCTCATGAATTTCAATACTTATACTGGCTGGTGTAACAGCCCTGCAGTAACAGACCAGATGTTTGCCTCCTTTGGTTTGTTATCCCCTCAGTCCATGCCTCAAGTCTCCATTGATCCATTAAACATTACAGAAGAAAATTCTGCTGCCTTTGCTGAGGGTGGTGGTGCATTAAGTGGCATAGCGAGCCCTTATAGTTGTGGAGACAGAATGGTCTTCCAGGAAACAGATACAGACTTTGGTTCTTTACTTGATAATAGAGATGCTAATGATTCGAGTGTTAGGCAAAATCTCAATAATTATCAACAAAGCAGTATTCCAGACTTTGCTAATTGTATGATTGCCAGGCCAATTGGACAATCACTTGATGAGAAGATGCTTAGAGCACTGTCCTTGTTTAAGGAGTCATCTGGAGGAGGTATTCTGGCACAAGTTTGGACACCAATTAAGCAAGGGGATCAGCTTATCCTGACTACATCCGAGCAGCCCTATTTGCTAGATCAGATGCTTTCTGGCTATCGTGAAGTATCAAGGGCATATACATTCTCTGCAGAAGTAAAACCAGGTTCTTTCCCAGGACTTCCTGGGCGTGTATTTATGTCAAGAGTTCCAGAGTGGACTTCTAATGTAATTTATTACAAGCAGGCCGAGTATTTACGGGTTATTCATGCAGTCAATCATAATGTCCGTGGTTGTATTGCCTTGCCAGTCTTTGAACCTACTAATATGGGTTGCTGTGCTGTGCTGGAACTTGTCACAGTGAAAGAGAAACCTGATTTTGATTCAGAAATTGAAAATGTTTGCCACGCACTCCAGGTTAGTTGTTTATTATTATTATTATTATTATTTTCATATTTCTTCATATTTCTCTAACTTGAAATTGTTAAGTTTATTTATTTACTTTTTCGTGTCTAGCTGTTGGTTCTGTACTCTTAGTGAAAACTCAAAACAGAATCAAGTCACTGACCTAGCCGTCCTTTTTAGCCCAGTAAAAGCATAAACTATCTTGTGTTGTAATTAATGAAGGGAAATCAAGAATTATCACAAACTTATCTTGCAGACTCTTAAATTAAATCTCCTAATTTACTAGTATAAATGAGGTCTAAATGCCAAGTGTGAAAATCAATTCCTACTGGGTTTCTTCCTTTCTTGATCTATCAGTGGTCAGTGGGTATCCATACCAACTAAAAAAAAAAAAAATCTAGATATTGTGTAGTTGTCAATGCCTGCTATTTAAATACATTTTTGACCACTAAAAAGTAGTGTATTTGTACTGGATCTTCAGTTTGTGAGGGAAGTCAATGGTTTTTAATTGATGTCCCTTAGTGTTTTTGGATGCCATGTCCTCTTTTTTTAATAATTTTTGATAAATAAACAAATACATCTGCTTCTGTGTATCTAATGCTAAACTTAGTTGGGTAAGTATGCCCCTCCTTAATTAATTTAAAGTATGCATATATATAGTTCTTCTGGATCAGCTTTACGTGTGCAATCTCAGCAGTTGCACTGTTCTTAATTGTTTAGGAAAAAGAAAGAAAGATGATTAGACCTTCCCTTTTTAAAATTTGAGAGAGTTTGTTTGCATGGAACATCTGAAGTCTTTGTAACTGCAAGTCAAAACTTAAACTTATAAGGTTGGGCCTGAGACAAATTTTCTCATTGGAATTCACAGTTGTTACTTCCTTTAGTTGTTTCACATGTGCTAATGTATGAAATGCATTCATGAAATCTGACTTAATATAATTCAAAATTATGCCAATACCATAAACCTGTCTTCCTCCCAAATGCAGGCTGTGAACTTAAGAACCAATGCACCTCCTCGAACTCCTCAGGTATTTATCAGAACTTGTACGTTTTTCATTCTGCGTTATCCAAACCTAGTGGAACTTGAGTAGTTTCTTTATTTGTTATGTGATTGCTTATTCCTTTATGAGCACTGGACTTCTCTAAATCACGTTCCTTTTTTCCCCTCTCCAGTGCCTGTCAAGGAATCAGAGAGCTGCTTTATCTGAAATATCTGATGTTTTACGGGCTGTTTGTCATGCACATAGATTACCATTAGCTCTGACATGGATCCCTTGTAGTCTCACTGAAGGAGCCATATGTGTTAAAGAAGGCCAGAAGGTTTCAGATGGCAAATGCGTCCTATGCATCCAAGACACTGCTTGTTATGTAAATGAGAAAGAAATGCAAGGTTTTGTACATGCGTGTGCGGAGCATTACCTTGAAGAAGGAAAGGGAATAGCTGGGAAAGCACTTCAATCTAATCATCCATTCTTTGTTTCTGATGTGAAGACATGTGACATAAGTGAGTATCCACTTGTTCATCATGCACGTAGGTTTGGCTTGAATGCTGCAGTTGCCATCAGACTGAGAAGTACCTATACCGGTGATGATGATTATATTCTAGAGTTTTTTCTCCCTCTTAGCATGAAGGGTAATTTGGAGCAGCAACTCTTGTTGAACAATCTATCAGGTACAATGCAGAGAATTTGCAAGACATTGAGAACTGTTTCAGAAGCAGAACTGGATGGAAGACAAGGGTCAAAAATTGAGTTACAGAGTGGAAAAAACTCCAATTTCCCACCATTGTCTAGGAGGAATTTTGAAACGACATCATCTGCAGATGGTGACTTGAACTCCAATGAAAGAAATCCCTTGAAAGTATCTAATGCAAAAAAGGGGACAGAATCAGATGGAACCTCTGAACAGGTAACTCTCTTTTAGAGAAAAAAAAAAAAAAGAAAGATCAATTTTTCTCTTTGGATGAATGAATAAACTTCTCAAACATGCGAAAGACATCCATTTGGAAATTTTATGTTCTGAGATCTATTGATCTGATATATATGAAGTCAAATGAGATATTAGAGTGTTTTCTTGTAGGTAAAAGTGAGCACTTTAGCCCACAGTGAAGTGTCCATATAGCATTGCTGTTACTTTTCACTTTGTGGTTGTTGCCCATACCCCATACTGCTTGCCTTATACCTTGCCAACTTTGGTCATTGGTGAACATACACCTCATTTGCCTAGTTTTTGTTTATCAACATCTAATCAGAAAAAGGAAAAGAAAAAAAATGAAGTCTTTTTTTGCAGGGATAGAAAGTAGTAGTGCTTCAATTATTATCAACAATCTACATGCACAAAAACACACTTTCAATAGTTTGTGACTGAGTGGATACGTAAGAGTTAATGGACTGAGTTGCACTCTATCCTAGTGAGATAATTGTATGAGACCTTATATAGCCATTGGAAAAGTTTGAAACTTTGAAACATTAGTGGCTTATTCATTCTTGTCATTATTGGGATATTTAATTTTCTTGGCACCTGATTTGTACATCCATCAGGGATGATGTATTATCTTCACACATATCTTCAGGTAACGACTGAATTAAAAAGGCAGCCAGAAAAAAGGAAACATACATCAGAGAAAAATGTGAGCTTGAGTGTTCTTCAGCAGTATTTCTCTGGGAGTCTTAAGGATGCCGCAAAAAGCATTGGTGGTAAGCCTTTATGGTACATGTGCTAATATGTTTTATATGTTTGTCATTATACATCCCCTTCAGTTTTCTGTTTAGTGTGTTTGCTATTGACATCATATCCGACTGCATATATATAAGTTTTGTAGAATACCTTTTCAGGAAAATTTTACTGTTTGTGAAGATTCTTTTCTTTAAGATTTATATGTGTTGATTGTGCAACTTTTTAATGGTAATCTTAAAGAATCTGCATCAATATTTGAATTTCTTGCTCTTTGTAGTGTGCCCTACCACATTGAAAAGAATATGCAGGCAGCATGGGATCTCAAGATGGCCATCTCGCAAGATTAACAAAGTGAACAGATCATTAAAGAAAATACAAACTGTACTTCACTCCGTGCAAGGGGTGGAAGGTGGATTGAAGTTTGATCCAGTCACTGGAGAATTTGTTGCAGCAGGTTCCATCATCCAAGAATTTGATGGTCAGAGAACACTTCTAGTTGATGAGAAAAGCCTATCTGCTAGAAATCCTGAACGGTTCAGTCAAGAGACACCATCAGCAGCCCCTTCATCTTCTTCTGGTATTGAGAAAAGTGTGGTTAAATTGGAGGAAGATGAATGCACTTTGGGTGAAAACAGTGGAGATGCTTCAAGGAATGTGCTCATTTCAAACAGCTATCCAGCAGAACTGAAAAATTCGACCCTCCATTTGGCTGATTGTTCTCAGGACCCCAGGTTGGGTGCAGCAGATGCAGGACAATTCAAGCCATCTTGGGCTTTTCTGGAAAATTCTCAGGTGGCTTCTTATTCATCAAAAGGAGTGAATAAGAGGGATTCCAACAGGAGTAATCTGCAATTAGAGGGTACTGACTGCCATTTTGTGTTTCAGAGCTCAAGTTCCTTGGCTGCTGCTTGTGAGATGGATACCAGAATGGTGGGAGATGATGAGATTGTTGATCATAAACAGCATCCTTGTTCAAGCATCACTGACTCATCAAATAGCTCTGGTTCAATGTTGCATGGAAGTTCATCAAGCTCAAAGTGCTTTGAAGAAAGAAATCGTTCAGAAATCAAGTCAAGCTGTGTTGGCGGTGGATCAAAAATTACTGTCAAAGCTACTTACCAAGAGGACACTGTCCGATTTAAGTTTGAGCCTTCAGCAGGATGCCTCCAACTACATGAAGAAGTAGCTAAAAGGTTCAAATTGCAGTATGGGACATTCCAGCTCAAGTACCTAGACGATGAAGAGGAATGGGTGCTGCTGGTCAATGACTCAGATTTGCAGGAGTGTTTGGAAATTTTGGACGGTATGGGCATGCATAATGTGAAGTTTCTTGTCCTTCCCATCCCTTCTTCTATGGGCAGCTCTGGAAGTAGCACTTGTTTTTTGGCAGGAAGCACGTAGAAGATTTGTGTCAGCATTACCAATAGCAGGATTAAACATCCCTGTTAAGGTCGAACAGGTTGAAACTTGAAAGAACTGTGGAATTCTAGAAGAGGTGAACAAGGGAAGTGAAGATTTGAGTCTCCAAGATAGTCCATACATGTATTATTGTATCCTCATAGGTCTGTATATGCTAGGAGGAGCAGCAATAGAAATAGAAAGTAGTAGCAATAGCCAGAAGTGGTAGACCAATAGTTGCTCAAATGGAAATCTGTATAATAAATAATCCTACCCAATCAAGTAATGTATTAATTTGAGAAAAATGAAGCTTTTATTTTCCAGCTAAGAGGAAATGAGATAATACTTTCGTTTAGGGACAAAAACATGAAAATAAAACACTAGAAACACACTTGAAATTTTTAGAAACATTTGCATTCACAATCAAAGAAGCACTTGTCCTTCTCTCCCTTGTTCCAGCTTTCAACCAAGTTTCCTTTGCAGCAGTCTCATGTTCGTTCAAAAAGAGGAAGTAGTCCTAGTTTTTCATACAAGTGTAATTAATGCCGAAGAGATCTGGTGGCTTGCCGTTTACATTTGTAGTGGTAACAAATTATGCACTTTCAAAAGTTGTAAGCTAAATTAATTGTCTGCTGGTCCATTCCAAGTGATTGTTTAATATAATGACTATGAAGCATGAACCTGCCAACAAGAAATTATATACAAAATGTATGTAGTCAATGTTTGAATAAATTATCTTTTTATTGACTTAAGGAAATATGAGTTAATAATAAATGATCTATATGGATAGATGCTATACACTAGGGCTTCCCCCAACTGGTTTGCAGTTTTTTTGCCACATGATCTGGTAAGCTTCTGATTCTGAACTGGATCCGCAACCAAAACTTTTGCTGACATGATCATCTGGTACTCAGCAGCTAACAGCACACTAGGAAACGATAAGGGTGCAATCTTGATCTAAGCTCCTTAAGCAAGGTCGTTTCTTTAATCATTGCAGATGTGCATGAAATTTTCGTTGGGCTAGCTTGATCAACAAGCACATGCATTGCAATAAGTAGCTCCTATTTGCTTGAACCATCCACCAAAATCTCAGATTGGCTACATTACACCCATGAATTTCTTCAATTTTTCTATTACACTGCCATGGACACGAAATCATTGATAATTCTGAACATCAATATTTTTTGGTTGGCAAACAGACACTGAATGTTGCTGTATATTAAAAACTACATGTTTAACAATTTTTAAGCATTGCATGAGCAGAGAGATTACTTCATTCCGATTCTTGAAAAACTAAAATATGGACACAAATAAAGATAAGTCAACAATAACCACAACAGAAGTTCATGTCAAATAAGGAGCTTTCAAGTACCATAGTTAACAGTTAAATGATCCAGAATATCAACATGTATAAGTAAAAATACCTCTTTGAAAGGCAAGGCATCAGCTCCTCAGCTGCTTGAACAATTAAAGAACCACCTCCATTTTTCTCAGATGAAGTCTGTTCCTCTTCTGTTATTGTACATAAAGATGACAAAAACATAATTAGTTATTTATGTCTAAGTTGTAGAAAGTGACAACATATGCTGCTTAGTTGACTTGGATGTTGTATGATTCCGTTAGTTTCAACTAAATTATCATATGAGAGCCGTTAATATATGGGTCATATCCTGCAATTTATTTTGCAGGCAAATAAATTTCCAAGTACAGATGCAATGGCTGGCACCTTCTTTTTTTTAAAAAAAAAAAAAAATTCCTTGACATGGTAGCAAAGACATTAAAACCTCAGACTAATATCATTCCTTTAAGATCCTCATAGGGTAAACTATGCAACAGATGTTAAGAACACTTGACAAGCAGAAGGCTGGTTTAGAAAATATGGAACCTGTAACACTTCTAAGCTGCCTTTGCATCTACTTTGTTGATAAAAGTTTTAAAGCCATTACTTGGTACTTGACTGATTTAGGACCTTATGTGCAAGTGATATTAAGTTAATTAATTTTACATAAGTTAATGTCAGCAAATAACTTAGTGTACATTGTTTAGATTCTTTTATTTTCTTTTAAAGGAATTTAGAAGGATAAAAATTCCAAAATTGTGAGTAATTTTTTAGCAATACAGCCACTTACTTGAATCATTAACCTTTTTCTAGAGTTTAGGAATTTCAATACCTTGACTACCTTCTTGACATGATAAGTCACCTCTGAGATACAAGCTATAACTCTGATCCAACTCTATGCTTTGATCCTCAGCAAGCTTCTCCAATAATTGACCAATCAGATTGTAGGCAACCACACTTGCCTGATCACATACTTCTTGAATGCTCAGGTATTGATTTCTACATGTGCTCTGCTTTTTGGGTATAAATTTTGTCTCCCTGTGCACAAAGTTAGAAGAAGAGAGGATTGATGGGGTTTCAGGATCAACAGCTCTGTCATGTTTGAGATCATCATCATTGACTGAATAATCATTCAACCCTCCACATGGTGATTTGAGAGGTGGAACTGTATTGTCACCATGAGTCATGCAGAATCTATCCACCCTGGCAAAATGCTCTGGTTCAAGGCCCTCCATTGTGTTGGGTGGAGTAGGTGCTTTAGACAGAACTGGTTTTGATTCATCAGTACCTTCTAAATGACAATCTGAACCAACAAAATGAGACATACAACTGTCAGACTTGGTAATTTCCACTTGCCAACCATTATCATCATCACTTTCTTCTAATTCTTCCATATAAGCATCTGCGAACTGATTATCTAACTCATGGTCAGGAAGCAAGTCCCAAATAGCTTGTTTTGTCTGAGCACTCACTCTTAATATACATTCTACCTCTTCTTCTATTTCCTCCTTTGGGAAGAATCTTGGAGTTATAGTTCGAGAACCCTTGTTGATAATTGCAAGAGCTTCCAATAAAGATTTGGGAATTGTATCCATATCAATGCACTCAAAAAGATATTCTATTAGCATTTTCTTTATAGCCGTTCGCAAACAACCATTTGAGATTTCAGCATTAGGATCCAACAAATGCTTCAATGTTTTCAGTCCTGGAATTCTAACCATTTTGAGTGACCAAATAGCCTTCACTATCTCATTCTGCAATCTCCTTATTTCTGGGGGTATTTGGTGAATATTTGCTATTGAGGAATTTTGACAGCCTGTTGTTAGCTTTAGAGATAAGTCTGCAACTACCAAAGCTTTAGCTAATGGCTCCTGTAGCTCATCCCATTTACCAAGTTCCATGAGCATCCTCTTCCCAGTTCTTCTAATCTGATTTATTAAACGGTGACGACTCTTACCCAGTTTGTGAGGCTGCAAGTGAGGCAATCGCTGGACAGATCTAAGCTTCCTGTGCATTGCAATTAAGGAATAAGTAGGCAAATCCTCTAATCCATCCAGAACCTTCGCAGCAGCAGCATAACGAGATAGAGATGTTAAAGCACAACATTTCAAACCATTCTCTCTGAAATTCTGGGGATTACTAAGAACTTGACTTAACTGTCTATTAATCTCCCCTAGTCTATGATCCTGATTTTGGCTTCCAACATAATTAGAAAGTGATTCTCTAATCACCTTTTTCATCTTGCAACGAGTATGGTCAAACATCACTGAGCCTCCAGTAAGAATCATAGCAATAAGGTAAAGGCCATTGTTAGTCAAGGCATCAAGGCATGAGACAAGGACTTGCATTACGTTGGGTGCATCAAATGACTGAATGTTATCTTGAAAAGCCCAACTCCCTCTTCCAAAATTACATGCTCCAAAGGCTTCTTCAACATGAGATTTAATAGTCTCATAGAATATCTTAAAAAAAAAAGAAAAAAAAGAGGCGTTACCATGAAACTGTGATATGGAAAAAAGGCTCAATTCACATAATTTGTACAACATGAACAGTTAAAAACTGTAAGAAGAAACAATAGAAAATGGATTCATGAAAAATTCAGCGGCATCAAGTCTTATTTTGTCCCTTCTTCTTCATATACTTTGCCAGGCATTTCAAATGAAAATGGGTATATGGGTATTTGGTAGACATACACAAGGTTTGCTCTTCAGTAAACAGAAACATACCCAAGCAGCTATAAGATTTAGGAAAGTACAAAATTTGCAAAACTTGAAGAAACCCATCAACAGTATTAGCAAAAGCAAGGAAACTACTTACATCATCTTCTCTAAGAAAAGATTCAGGCAAACACCTGCAAGTCAAAACTAAGAGCATCAATGACAATACATCAAAAGTAAACAAAACATGTGGTTCAGGGAAGGGAAGAAGGGAGCAATCCGAAATCGACTTACTCGTGCTTCAAAAACTTGGGAGCTTTGAATTGCTTCCTTTTCGATTGGGATGGCGATGTTGGAAGTCCGATCAACCACCTGCATTAAACTCAATCAATCAGCAATGAATCGAGATTAAGAAACGTCGCCCTGAGAATGTGGAAGGGACTACTGACCTTCTTTTGAGCCTCAGCTGCTTCTCCTGATGCTTAATCTCTGAAACTATCGTCTCCAAATCTGTTCGATAGAACTTTTCCATATGAATGTGTGAGTTTGGTGGAGATTTTGCAGAAAGACGGAGGGAAAAGGAGAGAATGAGAGAGAAAGGTTTTAACGGTAGGGTTTTTGGGATTCCGATTCTACGGTTAATCACCAATTCTTTTAATTAAAACAGCAGGCCATTCGTCGAAAAAATAAAAAATTAAGGCAACAGGCCTATGGGCCAAATTACTCCCTCCGGTCCGGCGTTACACATCACACAGCAAGCTAAGGCCCAACCCA